CCTACCCCTGAGTATATTCTATCTTGTGCCTGTCCCTACCCCCGAGTATCTTCTATCTTGTGCCTGTCTCTATCCCCGAGTATATTCTATCATGTGTCTGTCCCTACCCCCGAGTACATTCTATCTTGTGTCTGTCCCTACCCCCGAGTATATTCTATCTTGTGCCTGTCCCTACCCCCGAGTTCATTCTATCTTGTGTCTGTCCCTACCCCCGAGTATATTCTATCTTGTGCCTGTCCCTACCCCCGAGTTCATTCTATCTTGTGTCTGTCCCTACCCCCGAGTATATTCTATCTTGTGCCTGTCCCTATCCCCGAGTATATTCTATCTTGTGTCTGTCCCTACCCCCGAGTATATTCTATCTTGTGCCTGTCCCTACCCCCGAGTTCATTCTATCTTGTGTCTGTCCCTACCCCCGAGTATATTCTATCTTGTGGCTGTCCCTACCCCCGAGTTCATTCTATCTTGTGTCTGTCCCTACCCCCGAGTATATTCTATCTTGTGCCTGTCCCTACCCCCGAGTATATTCTATCTTGTGCCTGTCCCTGCCCCCGAGTACATTCTATCTTGTGCCTGTCCCTACCTCCGAGTACATTCTATCTTGTGTCTGTCCCTACCCCCGAGTATATTCTATCTTTTGCCTGTCCCTACCCCCGAGTACATTCAATCTTGTGCCTGTCCCTACCCCCGAGTATATTCTATCTTGTGCCCGTCACAGTCTACGCCTCACACTGTCCGCAGTATCCGCATCAGAAAGTACGGATAATGGCCCTCTGTATGCTACCAAGGTAACACGGCATCAGCCGTCAAAGGCAATATATCATATATACTCAAATAGCAAGTAAATATGTTCAGATTGCAAAGTAAGATAAGGTTACAGTTATGACGTACTAGTATTTAATTTATGTATGTATTTTTTGTTCCCTATTTGATGAATGCGGGTGAATTAAACAGTGAATATATCGTGAATCAGTTGGAACAACTTCCGCCACAACAAGATATATTTAGACGTGGGTAAAACGATGTGGAAATATGAATATCAATTGCAAATACTAACCCAAAGGAAACATTTGTATACAAATAATGACGACATTTATCAAGACCATGTCAAGCGAGAACTGCAGACTGTCAAAAGCAAACTGAAAAAGAAAAAGAAGCGACCGTAAAATATAACAACTTGCACTCAAAGTTCACATATTTTATTGATTGTATTTACAAACCTGGGGTACAAATTATTTCTATTTGTCATAATGATATTTTATATAGGTCACGAGATCGGTTTTACATTTAGTTTTACTTTCATGCGCCATAAACGTACAACCGACTAATTTTGTCGCCTGAGACTCCAGCTGCGTGATTGGCATTCTAGAAGTTGGCAAATAAGAAAGAAAAACGTACAACTTGATGGATAACAGCTTCTGGTTTATTGCATATAGCGACTTTTCGATGTAGATTCTTACACCGTTATCAAGCTGGCTACACCGTTACTCCATGATGAATATACATCGAAACGCTGCTATATGCAATAAACAAGAACTTCTTTGATAGGCATTTAGAAGTTGGAGTACTAAGTAAGGATAAGAATTTATGGATGAACAACTTCTTTATTACAATTAAGAGCGACGTTTCGTATGTAGGTTCTAACACCGTTATCAAGCAAGTGATTTACAGAGTGTAGTAGGCAAGTATATATACAAGTAGGAGGCAGTGTTTATACAGTAGAGTAGATATTGTTATACTGGAGTAGAGAAGACGTGTGTACACACAAGGGTAGTGATGACAATCATCGGTGAAGTCAGTGCCTTAAACAAGGGATGTAGTCAGTAATGTAAACAACGGGATTATGGCTGATTGGGGTCTTTGATGAGTTGATGGTACGCCGGGGCTCGATTCCCGACATTGGTACAATGTGTGAAGCCAATTTCTGGTGTCCCCAGCCGTGATATTGCTGGAATATTGCTAAACGCGGCGTAAAACCATACTCACTCACTCACTCACTTATGACGACTTATGACTGCCAGGCACACCTTGCCTCGCTCACTGAGTGAAGACACAATTGTCTTCATCATCTCTCTACCCGGACCGAGTTGGAAATAGTTGTTGAACTTCCCGAGTCGTCATCAGCCAAGGACCAACAGCATAATTACGTTGATGCAAACACCCGTATAGAGATTCTGAGGACAATTGTTCAACAACATGACCAGTAATTTGTTTCAAAATGTTTCTCGAAGTATGAGAAATAAATAAGTAGTTCGCAAAGGGATACCATGCCTGGCTAGCTACCCCGACTCTACCGATTGGGAAGCAAAGCACTCAGATCAGATCGACTTCATGCTAGGTTTTCCACAGATTAGGATGTAGCCTTGTTATTCAGTTTGAAGGCCAAATCCGATATACAAATAACAATTTCCGAGTATGAAACAGACTGTAGTGGCAATATATATCATTTTAAACAATGTTTAACGAATACTTCTTTTATATGCATGATAAATAAACAAGCATGCTGATTTCATATGTTTAGGATAGTTCGTGGTAATTATGCATATTTACATAAGTCATACACGCCTTTGGTAACTATTTCCGTCTAGCAGCAACACAAGTAGCGCATACATGAATAGTAGCGTAAAACATGATAGTATCCTCTGTAAATGTACCTCGATCACATAAAGGACAGTTTCTCACACATACATCAATGTTTTGCCACCTACCATCCTTTCCCAATCGTAGAGGCTCCCTCTGAACTTCACTGAAATGTTTCGAAGCTTTAATTCCCTAATTGCATAAAGATACTTCTCTAGTTCTACCAAACATTAAGTTCTCTAAAATGGCAATATCTTGAGCAATGAATCTTTTCTTTACATTAGATATCCAATTTGATGACACATAATGGTAACACAATCCTTCAACATACTTATTAAACATTTTATACACTTTGGAATCTCCTCAGTATTTTATTATTGAAGCCATAGGAGGCCATAATTTCCATAGCTTTGCTCGATTGAATCCAATGTCGGTCTTAAGCCAATAAAAGTAACATATTTATGCGCGTTCGGTACCAAATTCAATCGAGTGCGATTAAGCTATAGATAACCTGGCTTCACAATGATTACACAATAGGTTTATCTACTAGGAAATACTGTCAGTTCCTCATGAACTCAGTAACAAGTGCTCAGTCACCAGGCTCACAACATCCGCCAGTAGGTGCAGCGCTGTACACAGTACACAGTGTATCCAAGTCATCGTGACCCCCGTGTTCCGCTACGTGAGCCCCACGTGCTACCCTTTCATCAGAGTGTGTCAGCACTACCTACATCGTCTCAGCCACCACTGGGAGGAATCCATATTGACGCTAGTTTCACTTGGTCACGTGGCTATCACATTAAAGAACACAATCCAGTGACAGACGTGATTTTCGTATAAGATTGCTCTATATCAGATTGTATACCAAATCTCGTTTTTGCTATAAGGGTAAAGGTTTTATGTTGATAACGGCATTAGCCGAGAGAACGTCGGGTTTGGTTGAGTCACGCTTGTTACACAGTGAAGCGGACGTACTTCCGTCTATAGATGAACCACACATACGTTAACTCTTATATCACGGATACTATCATAAATATTATCTCTGAAATAGCTTCCCATTTGTACCCAGATCTAGGTTTTTGTGAGAATTCACGATCATTATTTCTTATATCGTTTTCGCTCACACTTCCCAATCATGACTGTATAAAGAGTTCCTTGTTAAAACAAACTAACGCTAAAGGAGTGGACGTCAAGCTATATTTCAATAATCAGCATATTATATGTGTAAACCACTGAACAGTCCATCATGACAGCAACCAGCCACACACTTGCACGACATCGGTTACTACGTACTTCCAGTCCCGTTCCACAAAGCGATCTTAGCGCTAAGCCGTTCGTTACCTTTACTTGGACATAGAGTTATGACGACCTTTATGCTAAGATCGCTTCGTGGAACGCGGCTCTGAGTCTTACCTACGTATGGTTGCACAGGTTATGGATTATAATTTGTAGATTAAAATATAAGCTATCCCCGTTTCTGATAACATACTGTTGTGGTTTTGAGAAATAGATAGTCTCAAGACATACCAGACGATACTTCAAAACGAATAGGTCTTCGGATATACAGTGAAAACCACTTCAGGAAGGAAAACACAGAAAAGGGCATGTTGAAAATAGTGGAGAAGTCTAGTCAGACCCACCAAGGAGTATTGGAAGCCTAAGGGTATCAGCTCTTCCCGTCGGCATTTGTGGCTGAATATGGGTTCACTGGAGTGTTTAAGCAGTAAGGGTTAACTGGAGTGCTCAAGCTGTAAGGGTTAACTTGAGTGCTCAAGCTGTAAGGGTTAACTTGAGTGTTCAAGCAGTAAGGGAACTGGAGAGTTGAAGCTCTGAGGGTTAACTGGAGTGTTCAAGCAGTAAGGGTTAACTGGAGTGCTCAAGCTGTAAGGGTTAACTTGAGTGTTCAAGCAGTAAGGGAACTGGAGAGTTGAAGCTCTGAGGGTGAACTGGAGCGTTCAAGCTGTAAGGGTTAATTGGAGTGTTCAAGCTGTAAAGGTTAACTGGAGTGTTCACGCTGTAAAGGTTAACTGGAGTGTTCAAGCTGTAAGGGTTAACTGGAGTGTTCAAGATGTAAGGGTTAACTGGAGTGTTCAAGCTCTGAGGGTTAACTGGAGTGTTCAAGTTGTAAGGGTTAACTGGAGTGTTCACGCTGTAAGGGAACTGGAGTGTTCAAGCTGTCAGGGTTAACTGAAGCGTTCAAGCTGTAAAGGTTAACTTGAGCGTCAAGCTTTAAAGGTTAACTGGAGTGTTCAAGCTGTAAGGGTTAACTGGAGTGTTTAAACCTTGATCCCTCTACAACACCTTTCGACTGCCAACTCTTGCCGAAGCGCTACTGGTGTATTCACAGTGGATACAGATTACAGTAAACACAACACGCTGAACACTGATTACATGAGCTTGAAGCGTTCTTTGCCTGCCAGTTATAGCCGCTGTCACTGCTGAAAGTAGAGGGCCCAGCAAACACGATGTATATGTTAGAATGCGTGTATTGTGGCAAAGTGAGCGTGAACCTATACACATGCGGTATTGCATTGTAATGTATTGTTCTGATCAGTATGCTGTTTTATCATGATACAGTCAATACACAGCCAGTAAGCCCCGTCTAACCGCAGTGCGCAACAACTTGCACAATACACATAGTGTCTATTCTACATTTATTATTTAGTCACGTTCTTCATTTACATATATGCTCTGAACGATTAACAGTTAACATCCCATGTCCTACTGAACAAGGAAGTAAATTTACGAGTGTCTGTTACCGGCCTCAGGAGGAGTCACACTCAAGCAATGCATCGCCAGGGACACATCGCTCTTCGTGTGGTGCTCGTTATAGCAGGTACGTGCATTTTTATAATACATGTTACACTTGTACAAGAGAAGCGCATTTAATGAAATAGGGGCACCGTCTTCGGGGCAAGGAGACGGGCGAAGAATTAAAATTCCTTCGGTCACCTTTTCGTCACGCCTGATGCAGGGTATATGCTACTGACATGCATTGTTGCATGTATTATATTGTTGGGATGCATGTGAAAGGGGGGGGGGGGGGGGGTAGATAACAGACTGTTTTACTATGTTTAGTCTGTGTACCGGACTCAGAGGGGATAGATAACAGACTGTTTTACAATGTTTAGTCTGTGTACCGGACTCAGAGGGGATAGATAACAGACTGTTTTACTATGTTTAGTCTGTGTACCGGACTTAGAGGGGATAGATAACAGACTGTTTTACTATGTTTAGTCTGTGTACCGGACTTAGAGGGGATAGATAACAGACTGTTTTACAATGTTTAGTCTGTGTACCGGACTCAGAGGGGATAGATAACAGACTGTTTTACAATGTTTAGTCTGTGTACCGGACTCAGAGGGGATAGATAACAGACTGTTTTACTATGTTTAGTCTGTGTACCGGACTTAGAGGGGATAGATAACAGAATGTTTTACAATGTTTAGTCTGTGTACCGGACTCAGAGGGGATAGATAACAGACTGTTTTACAATGTTTAGTCTGTGTACCGGACTCAGAGGGGATAGATAACAGACTGTTTTACTATGTTTAGTCTGTGTACCGGACTTAGAGGGGATAGATAACAGACTGTTTTACAATGTTTAGTCTGTGTACCGGACTCAGAGGGGATAGATAGCAGACTGTTTTACTATGTTTAGTCTGTGTACCGGACTCAGAGGGGATAGGTCACAGAATGTTTTACTATGTTTAGTCCAGACTCAGAGGGGATAGATAACAGACTGTTTTACTATGTTTAGTCTGTGTACCGGACTCAGAGGGGAAAGGTCACAGAATGTTTTACTATGTTTAGTCCAGACTAAGAGGGGATAGGTAACAGAATGTGTTACAATGTTTAGTCTGTGTACCGGACTCAGAGGGGATAGATAACAGGCTGTTTTAATATGTTTAGTCTGTGTACCGGACTCAGAGGGGATAGGTCACAGAATGTTTTACTATGTTTAGTCCAGACTCAGAGGGGATAGATAACAGACTGTTTTACTATGTTTAGTCTGTGTACCGGACTCAGAGGGGATAGATAGCAGACTGTTTTACTATGTTTAGTCTGTGTACCGGACTCAGAGGGGATAGATAACAGACTGTTTTACTATGTTTAGTCTGTGTACCGGACTCAGAGGGGAAAGGTCACAGAATGTTTTACTATGTTTAGTCCAGACTAAGAGGGGATAGGTAACAGAATGTGTTACAATGTTTAGTCTGTGTACCGGACTCAGAGGGGATAGATAACAGGCTGTTTTAATATGTTTAGTCTGTGTACCGGACTCAGAGGGGATAGGTCACAGAATGTTTTACTATGTTTAGTCCAGACTCAGAGGGGATAGATAACAGACTGTTTTACTATGTTTAGTCTGTGTACCGGACTCAGAGGGGATAGATAGCAGACTGTTTTACTATGTTTAGTCTGTGTACCGGACTCAGAGGGGATAGATAACAGACTGTTTTACTATGTTTAGTCTGTGTACCGGACTCAGAGGGGATAGGTCACAGAATGTTTTACTATGTTTAGTCCAGACTCAGAGGGGATAGGTAACAGAATGTTTTACAATGTTTAGTCTGTGTACCGGACTCAGAGGGGATAGATAACAGGCTGTTTTACTATGTTTAGTCTGTGTACCGGACTCAGAGGGGATAGGTCACAGAATGTTTTACTATGTTTAGTCCAGACTCAGAGGGGATAGATAACAGAATGTTTTACAATGTTTAGTCTGTGTACCGGACTCAGAGGGGATAGATAACAGACTGTTTTACCATGTTTAGTCTGTGTACCGGACTCAGAGGGGATAGATAACAGACTGTTTTACTATGTTTAGTCTATGTACCGGACACAGAGGGGATAGATAACAGACTGTTTTACTATGTTTAGTCTGTGTACCGGACTCGTCACATGGACAAAGCGGGATTGAGAAGGAACTTCATCCTCAAAATGGATTCTACAACAACCTATTCGAGCCTGAATGGGGGACCACAGGTCGGTGATTATTCTTTACTGCTTTGAGTGTGTGTGATCAAGTATGAAGCTCTTGTTGAATATTATTACGTAGCGCGGTCTGCGTGACGCCCAGATATTGTCTCTCCCCATCATTAATACATGTTACAGATTCTTTAAGACGACAGTAAAAACTGCAATACGTAAGAAAATGATGATGATCACCACATCTGATTATATCATGAATATATGTTATTATGTTCCGGGTATACTACAGTGAATTCTCGACAAGTAGAAACCGTTTAAGTGGACAAAACTCTTACGTAGATACTTGACTTTGGTCCTGGCAGGCTCACTATATCAGTATCATTATTTTATATCTGATAAGTAGGAACCTCTAAGTAAAAACCGGTTATCTAGATACATTTCCTTGGCCCCCAACGACATGCTGCAGGGTAAATTTGACTTGGTAAGTGGAACAGCAGTCAATGTGGTCGTAAACACACGACTGACTAAATAGAGTAATTAACAGACAAATGGAAGTATATATATGGCGTCAATTTCCAGATTGGATCTGCTCAAAGGCGCTTTTGCATGAGTCTGGTGGCCAAAGTGAGAGAGAGAGCTCAGTGAGCGTTGTAGGCGGATTGGAACAAATAGGTTTTTAACAGTCCCTTAAATTGGTTGATATCTTTGGCACTTTTGATGTTGACGGGAATGCTGTTCCAAAGCGTTGGGCCGGCCTTGGCAGAGCACCGGTCACCAAGTGACATAGTCCTGGTTTGGGGCACAAACAGGAGCTGACTGTTACCAGGCCTGAGTGATGGTACTGGTTGATATAGCTGCATCACTTCACTGATGAGGGTGGACCGATATCATGAAGTGTTTTTTGTACAAACACAAGTAGTTTGAATTCGATGCTCTTTGCGATAGGGAGCTAGTGTAGTTGCATTAGAGCAGGTGTGATATGCTCGTACTTCCCAGCACGGGTTACCACTCTGGCAACTGCGTTCTGAACACCTGAATCCCTGCGATCTGGTATCTAGGCTACCCGTCCAGAAGAGCATTACAACAATCCAGCCGGGATATAACGAAAGACTGAATGAGAGATGGATTGATGTGTTTCCTGATAGGCCAATATCTCTGATATTGTAGTATGTCAGTTTGCAGATGTTACTGATGTGACCATCGAGACTTTAACCAGAGATAATATCTATGTACCATTTGGAGTTAGGACATTAGGCAAGAAGTAGGAATCTTTATGGTTCCAATTATGCTCGCCTCTTGCGGATCTCTTTCGTTATGCGCATGAATCGGAATTTCTGCTCGGATTGGCGAAGCTAAAAGAAGGTAATTTGGCCAAGAAGGTTAACTTATGCTTCAAGTATATCGATGATCCGATATGCGTCAATAACCACCAAATAGCCAGTTCCCTTCCACTGATTCACACACCTGAACTAGAAGTAAAGGAGACCAGTGAGACCGGCTCACCCGTTTCATCTGTTTACATCTTTTCATACAGATTCAGGGTGACAGGACACTCACCACAAGACTGTATGACAATATATTTTGTGGATGTCACGCAGTATTCCAGCAGCTCCAACCCTTGATTTCTACATTTCACAACTTTTGAGGTAGATTCGAGCATCTTTTATGCCAAGATTTCAAAGAGCGTCATGCAATTCTTGCTCAGAAGACCACAGCATTTAAAGCCTCATTAAAGCTTTCAAAAAGATTTATGATAGACATGTGGAGGACATTTCCAAATTTGTCGCATCAGTGATTTTGATTTGTACCAAATGTGCCTGTGTTTTTTTAAGTGAACAATTGATTTGGTTTTGTATGTGTTTGTGACGGGTGCAGTGGGGCAGGATACGCTCACCTTTTCGCGAACACCTGGTATCATCACTAATTGATAGTGATTCATAAACACACTCTCAGGATATAGTCGGAATCGTACAATCGACTCTGGTTTTGGCAGAGATTTGTAATTAATGTGGAAAGGTCTTTGTCGTATATTATCATTATAACTTATCACAGCTTATACCTTTCAGATACCTACTGGTACATAGATATATATCTACTGAAAGTCGTGACACACACATTCGGATCTTTACGTAACCATAACACATCTAGCGAAAATCGTGACACAAACAAGCGGTGCCTTCCGTAACCATGACATAGAACATTTTTATGTTTGCGAAAATTCCCGCAACTTTGTCCCCGTCCTGCGAGGGTCATAAAGGTGTGTAACCCCGGATGCAGGCAAGATACTTCATAGTCATGTGACATCTGTGAACACATGCTATTGGTTTAATTCCATTAGAAATAGATCAATTTATGAAAATCGCGTTTTCAGGGAAGTAAGATCTTTTACAAATTTGTTTAGTTTATAAAGGTATGGTTGAACTGTAGAACACGCTCAGGGTGGCAGCTGTAACATGTAACATCAAGTTCATGAAACCAGAACTGCTTCATGATATGAAAGACAGACGCAGGTGTTGTTCGAAATTACAGCCAAGTTTATTACTGATAAATGTTTTTTGAACCCTGAAACAATTGTAAAACATTCATTACACAAAATATAAACATATGCTGACATCAAATATTTCATTACATTTGATGATATATACAAAATGCTATAACTACTAATTGATAAACTTACATCTCATCAAAACTTAATTAATCTTATAACATAAACATACTCAACCTGCATATATACTTATATATGCGTATCATATAAATAGAGTAACACAAACGTGACATGATACATTTACTATCATGTATACATACAATGTACAATATATGAGAAATATATATAAAACCTAGTAAACCCACCAAGTGTGTGGACCTGGGTTCATCAGTCCAGACACAGACCTCTGCACAAGTAATACAGCTACATCGGCACGACAAATAAATGAATATACACACTGTGCAGACCAATCTGATAGCAGCAATATTACTACAAACAGATACATAGTGTTATTGCAGAGTAACTTAAAACATTTCTAAAATATAATAGTAAAACCCTGATTCATTCATACATTCATACATTCTACATTCATACATTACACGTTCATATATACCAATATGTAACCAAGCAACACATATGTTTCCTATTCTTACTTTCATACTTTATACTTTCATACATCAGCTTCACAGTGATTGAAGATTTAGTTAAATAGTATTTTAGGCCTAATCTTAGCGCTTACTGAATTATTTACCTTACGTAAATAATAACACTTGTAATGCATTCAGAATCACAACTAGTTACTATGATCTAGCTAATATTTACAACATGACAAAAACTGCCAAATTATCAACAACATAAACATAATATACCTACAAATCCTAGGAATACGTACAAACAATAAAATATCATCAAAAGACCAACGTTTAGAAGTGAATTCCAAAGTCCATAAATCAAACACCACAATTAGTCCAAATTGTGAATTCCAAAATATCCAATATACGTGATACGTGCGTTCGACAGTAACATCAAATGTGATCTCTACTGTAGTAAAACTAAACCCTTTAAACTGGAGACAGTAAGCTGGAAAGATAAACACAAAGGGGCTGTGAGGGGCACGCTTGGGCAGGCTGTTGTGTGATAGTGCACTAGGTGATTGAGGCTGTGGCAAAGTACTCATGCAGTAAGCTGAAACAGAGAATTAGGAAAGCTAAAGTGTGAAGTATATAATGTTTAAAACATACTTGACTGAACATTTTATTCAGTAAAAATCTAAACTAATAAAACTCTGAAAATATATACAATTATCTGATCCTGTCACATTCATAAAAAGTAGTACACGACAGACGGCAATGTTCAGTAGGACCATCCCAAGGTGCTGCCTTCAAAGTCGGCTTTCATGTTGAAGAAATACGTTTATAATTGAATGTTACAAAAATCTACACTTTGTAATTGTACCATTTCGAAATTATTAATAATGCCAGAAAAGAAACGGACATTCTTCGGGAGTTCAAATGATTCAAACAACGTTATCTCTATTTGCAAGTCTTTTAAACATGTTTGAAAAACTCCCGAACCTGTTGTGTCTATATACATACTATTGCAGACGTTTTAGTAAATCACCCTGAGTTGTACACAACAAACTTTTGAATTATATACGAATACGAAATGATATTCTTCTGCAACAGATATATCACAAACAGGGTACAGGCGTTACGGATGACAAAGTAGACACAATTGATGGATAACATCTTCTTCCTTTACTGTGAAGGCACAAGTAGACACAGTTGATGGATAACAACTTCTTTCTTGACTGTGAAGGCACAAGTAGACACAGTTGATGGATAACATCTTCTTTCTTGACTGTGAAGGCACAAGTAGACACAGTTGATGGATAACATCTTCTTCCTTTACTGTGAAGGCACAAGTAGACACAGTTGATGGATAACAACTTCTTTCTTGACTGTGAAGGCACAAGTAGACACAGTTGATGGATAACATCTTCTTTCTTGACTGTGAAGGCACAAGTAGACACAGTTGATGGATAACAACTTCTTTCTTGACTGTGAAGGCACAAGTAGACACAGTTGATGGATAACAACTTCTTTCTTGACTGTGAAGGTACAAGTAGACACAGTTGATGGATAACAACTTCTTCCTTGACTGTGAAGGTACAAGTAGACACAATTGATGGATAACAACTTCTTTCTTGACTGTGAAGGTACAAGTAGACACAGTTGATGGATAACAACTTCTTCCTTGACTGTGAAGGTACAAGTAGACACAATTGATGGATAACAACTTCTTTCTTGACTGTGAAGGTACAAGTAGACACAATTGATGGATAACAACTTCTTTCTTGACTGTGAAGGTACAAGTAGACACAATTGATGGATAACAAATTCTTTCCTGACTGTGAAGGTACAAGTAGACACAATTGATGGATAACAACTTCTTTCTTGACTGTGAAGGTACAAGTAGACACAATTGATGGATAACAAATTCTTTCTTGACTGTGAAGGTACAAGTAGACACAAATGATGGATAACAAATTCTTTCTTGACTGTGAAGGTACAAGTAGACACAATTGATGGATAACAACTTCTTTCTTGACTGTGAAGGCACAAGTAGACACAATTGATGGATAACAACTTCTTTCTTGACTGTGAAGGCACAAGTAGACACAATTGATGGATAACAACTTCTTTCTCTACAGTTTGGCACAAAGTAGACACAATTTATGGATAACAACTACATTTTTTACTGTGAAGGCACAAGTAGACACAATTTATGGATAACAACTACATTATTGACTGTGAAGGTACAAGTAGACACAATTGATGGATAACAACTTCTTTCTTGACTGTGAAGGCACAAGTAGACACAATTGATGGATAACAACTTCTTTCTTGACTGTGAAGGCACAAGTAGACACAATTGATGGATAACAACTTCTTTCTCTACAGTTTGGCACAAAGTAGACACAATTTATGGATAACAACTACATTATTGACTGTGAAGGTACAAGTAGACACAATTGATGGATAACAACTTCTTTCTCTACAGTTTGGCACAAAGTAGACACAATTTATGGATAACAACTACATTATTGACTGTGAAGGCACAAGTAGACACAATTGATGGATAACAACTTCTTTCTCTACAGTTTGGCACAAAGTAGACACAATTTATGGATAACAACTACATTATTGACTGTGAAGGTACAAGTAGACACAATTGATGGATAACAACCTCTTTCTTTACAACATAGGCACAAAGTAGTCACAGTTTGATTGATTACAACTTCTTTCTGTACTGTAAAGGCAGAAAGTAGACACAATTGAGGGATAACAACTTTTCCTTTACAGTAAAGGCACAAAGTACACACAATTGATGGATAACAAATTCTTTCTGTACTGCAAAGGCACAAAGTAGACATTGGTGGTGTACCGTTAGATATATAATAGAGGTGTAGCTAAACAGTATCAGGTGAACTGGGTAGTGTAATGTTAGATATATACATACAGGTATAGGTAAACTGTGTCAGCTGAGCTGGGTGGTGTACAGTCAGCTATATACATACAGGTGTAGGTAAAGAGTGTCAAGTGACATTGGTGGTGTACCGTTAGATAAATACATACAGGTGTATGTAAACAATGTCAGGTGACATTGGTTGTATACAGTTAGATATATAAAAGAGGTGTAGGTAAACAGTGTTAGTTGACATTGGCGGTGTACAGTTAGATATATACATACAGGTGTAGCTAAACAGTGTCAGGTGACATTAGCGGTGTAAAGTCAGATATATACATACAGGTGTAGCTAAACAGTATCAAGTGACATTGGCGGTGTACAGTCAGATATATACATACAGGTGTAGGTAAACAGTGTCAGGTGACACTGGTGGTGTACCGTTAAATATATAGCAGAGGTGTAGGTAAACAGTGTCAGGTGACATTGGTGGTGTAAAGTTAGATATATACATACAGGTATAGGTCAACTGTGTCAGCTGACCTGGGTGGTGTACAGTCTGTTATATACATACAGGTGTAGGTAAACAGTGTCAGGTGACATTGCTGGTGTACAGTCAGTTATATACATACAGGTGTAGGTAAACAGTGTCAGGTGACATTGGTGGTGTACAGTTAGATATATACATACAGGTGTAGGTAAACAGTGTCAGGTGACATTGCTGGTGTACAGTCAGTTATATACATACAGGTGTAGGTAAACAGTGTCAGGTGACATTGGTGGTGTACAGTCAGATATATACATACAGGTGTAGGTAAACAGTGTCAGGTGACATTGGTGGTGTACAGTCAGTTATATACATACAGGTGTAGGTAAACAGTGTCAGGTGACATTGGTGGTGTACAGTTAGATATATACATACAGATGTAGGTAAACAGTGTCAGGTGACATTGGTGGTGTACAGTCAGTTATATACATACAGGTGTAGGTAAACAGTGTCAGGTGACATTGGTGGTGTACCGTTAGATATATACATACAGGTGTAGGTAAACAGTGTCAGGTGACATTGGTGGTGTACAGTCAGTTATATACATACAGGTGTAGGTAAACAGTGTCAGGTGACATTGGTGGTGTACCGTTAGATAAATACATACAGGTGTATGTAAACAGTGTCAGGTGACATTGGTGGTGTACAGTTAGATATATACATACAGGTGTAGGTAAACAGTGTCAGGTGACATTGGTAGTGTACAGTCAGTTATATACATACAGGTGTAGGTAAACAGTGTCAGGTGACATTGGTGGTGTACAGTTAGATATATAATAGAGGTGTAGCTAAACTGTGTCAGGTGACCTGGGTAGTGTACAGTCAGTTACATACATACAGGTGTAGGTAAACAATGTCAGTTGACATTGGTTGTATACAGTTAGATATATACATACAGGTGTAGGTAAACAGTGTCAGGTGACATTGGTGGTGTACAGTTAGATATATAATAGAGGTGTAGCTAAACTGTGTCAGGTGACCTGGGTAGTGTACAGTCAGTTACATACATACAGGTGTAGGTAAACAATGTCAGTTGACATTGGTTGTATACAGTTAGATAAATACATACAGGTGTATGTAAACAGTGTCAGGTGACATTGGTGGTGTACAGTTAGATATATACATACAGGTGTAGGTAAACAGTGTCAGGTGACATTGGTAGTGTACAGTTAGATATATACATACAGGTGTAGGTAAACAGTGTCAGGTGACATTGGTGGTGTACAGTTAGATATATAATAGAGGTGTAGGTAAACAGTGTTAGGTGACATTGGCGGTGTACAGTCAGATATATACATACAGGTGTAGGTAACCAGTGTTAGGTGACATTGGCGGTGTACAGTCAGATATAGACATAGAGATGTAGGTAAACAGTGTCAGGTGACATTGGTGGTGTGCAGTTAGATATATACATACAGGTGTAGGTAAACAGTATCAGGTGACATTGGTGGTGTACAGTTAGATATATACATACAGGTGTAGGTAAACAGTGTCAGGTGACATTGGTGGTGTACAGTTAGATATATACATACAGGTGTAGGTAAACAGTGTCAGGTGACATTGGTGGTGTACAGTCAGTTATATACATACAGGTGTAGGTAAACAGTGTCAGGTGACATTGGTGGTGTACAGTTAGATATATACATACAGGTGTATGTAAACAGTGTCAGGTGACATTGGTAGTGTACAGTTAGATATATGAATACAGGTGTAGGTAAACAGTGTCAGGTGACATTGGTAGTGTACAGTTAGATATATACATACAGGTGTAGGTAAACAGTGTCAGGTGACATTGGTAGTGTACAGTTAGATATATACATACAGGTGTAGGTAAACAGTGTCAGGTGACATTGGTGGTGTACAGTTAGATATATACATACAGGTGTATGTAAACAGTGTCAGGTGACATTGGTAGTGTACAGTTAGATATATGAATACAGGTGTAGGTAAACAGTGTCAGGTGACATTGGTGGTGTACAGTTAGATATATACATACAGGTGTAGGTAAACAGTGTCAGGTGACATTGGTGGTGTACAATCAGAAATATACATACAGGTGTAGGTAAACAGTGTCAGGTGGCATTGGTGGTGTACAGTTAGATATATAATACAGGTGTAGGTAAACAGTGTCAGGTGACATTGATGGTGTACAGTTAGATATATACATACAGGTGTAGGTAAACAGTGTCAGGTGGCATTGGTGGTGTACAGTTAGATATATACATACAGATGTAGGTAAACAGTGTCAGGTGACATTGGTGGTGTACAGTCAGTTATATACATACAGGTGTAGGTAAACAGTGTCAGGTGACATTGGTGGTGTACAGTTAGATATATACATACAGGTGTAGGTAAACAGTGTCAGGTGACATTGGTGGTGTACAGTTAGATATATACATACAGATGTAGGTAAACAGTGTCAGGTGACATTGGTAGTGTACAGTCAGTTATATACATACAGGTGTAGGTAAACAATGTCAGGTGACACTGGTGGTGTACAGTTAGATATATACATACAGATGTAGGTAAACAGTGTCAGGTGACATTGGTAGTGTACAGTTAGATATATACATACAGATGTAGGTAAACAGTGTCAGGTGACATTGGTAGTGTACAGTCAGTTATATACATACAGGTGTAGGTAAACAGTGTCAGGTGAAATTGGTGGTGTACAGTTAGATATATACATACAGGTGTAGGTAAACAGTGTCAGGTGACATTGGCAGTGTACAGTCAGTTATATACATACAGGTGTAGGTAAACAATGTCAGTTGACATTGGTTGTATACAGTTAGATATATAATAGAGTTGTAAGAAAACAGTGTTAGGTGACATTGGCGGTGTACAGTTAGATATAGACATAGAGATGTAGGTAAACAGTGTCAGGTGACATTGGTGGTGTACAGTGAGATATATACATACAGGTGTAGGTAAACAGTCAGGTGACATTGATGGTGTACAGTCAGATATTTACATACAGGTGTAGGTAAACAGTGTCAGGTGACATTGGTGATGTACAGTTAGATATAGACATAGAGATGTAGGTAAACAGTGTCAGGTGACATTGGCGGTGTACAGTTATTAGTTAAAGAAACAGTGACTCATCATAATCAGCATGATATTGCAGCCGGTGTTTCTGGCTTCAGGTAACGAGTTGCTCCGGTCAGCACAGGCCTCCTACAGTGACCAGGTATATGAGCCGAACCAACAAGGACGACCTAACCCCCTGGACATCAGCCAGGCGCTTCACGCCGCCGGCAGCAGCGGAGACGCATCGACATCAGGCAAAAATGCCATGCTGGTATATTTTGGTACGCGCAAGTATGACAAGATAAAATCTGATGATGGCAAGGGTCGTTACTCAAGTACAGAGATGTGATGTGTGTAGGAGATTGATATAGGGCATAGAGTAGTGTTGTGTGTCCGAGAGTGATATAAAGTAGTGTTGTGTGCAGGAGAGTGATATAGAGTGATGTTGTATGTATGCGGGAGATATAGAGCATAGAGTGATGCTGTGCGTAGGAGAGTGATATAGAGTGATGTTGTGTGTAGGAGAGTGATATAGAGCATAGAGTGCTGTTGTGTGTAGGAGGAGGAAGTAGAGCATAGAGAAGTGGTATGTAACCGAGAGTGATATAGAGTGACGTTGTGTGTAGGAGAGTGATATAGAGCATAGAGTGCTGTTGTGTGTAGGAGGAGGAAGTAGAGCATAGAGAAGTGTTATGTAACCGAGAGTGATATAGAGTGATGTTGTGTGTGGGAGAATGATATAGAGCATAGAGTGATGTTACACCGCTTTTAGCAATATTCCAGCAATATCACGGACACCAGAAATTGGCTTCACACATTGTACCCATGTCGAGAATCGAACCCGGGTCTTGGGCGTGACGGGCGAACGCTTTAACCACTATGCTACCCGACCGCCCCGTTGTGTGCAGGAAAGTGATTTGGAGCATTGAGTGATGTTGTGTGTAGGAGAGTGATGTAGAGTATAGAGTGATGTTGTGTGTAATAGAGTGATATAGAGTGATGTGTATAGGCGAGTGATATAGAATATTTAGTGATGTGCGAAGGAGAGAGATATAATGCATAGAGTGCTGTTGAGTGTAGGAGGGGGAAATAGAGGAAAGAGTGGTGGTGTTTGTGTAGGAGAGTGACATAGAGTTGACTTGAGTGTATGAGAGAGATATAGAGCATAGAGTTTTGCTTTGTGTCGAAGAGTGATATGGAGTATTGAGTTGTGTTATGTGTAGGAGAGTGACATAGAGTTGACTTGAGTGTATGAGAGAGATATAGAGCATAGAGTTTTGTTTTGTGTCGAAGAGTGATATGGAGTATTGAGTTGTGTTATGTGTAGGAGAGTGACATAGAGCATAGAGTTTTGCTTTGTGTCGAAGAGTGATATGGAGTATTGAGTTGTGTTATGTGTAGGAGAGTGACATAGAGTTGACTTGAGTGTATGAGAGAGATATAGAGCATAGAGTTTTGTTTTGTGTCGAAGAGTGATATGGAGTATTGAGTTGTGTTATGTGTAGGAGAGTGACATAGAGTTGACTTGAGTGTATGAGAGAGATATAGAGCATAGAGTTTTGTTTTGTGTCGAAGAGTGATATGGAGTATTGAGTTGTGTTATGTGTAGGAGAGTGACTTAGAGCATAGAGTTGAGCTGCGTGTATGAGAGTGATGTAGAGTCTCTTGTGTGTAAGAGAGTGATAAAGAGCATTGTATTTGCTGTGTGTAGGAGAGTTACATAGATGAGTGTGTGAGAGAGATATAGAGCATAGAGTTTTGTTTGTGTCGAAGAGTGATATGGAGTACTGAGTTGTGTTGTGTGTAGGAGAGTGACATAGAGCATAGAGTTTTGTTGTTTGTAGGAGAGTGATATAGAGTGACGCTGTGTGTAGGAGAGTGACAGAGCATAGAGTGAAGTGTGTAGGAAAGTGACATAGAGTGATGTTTTGTGTAGGGAGTGATATAGAGTGGTGTTGTGTGTAGGTGAGTGACATAGTGCATAGAATAATGTTGCATGTAGGAGAGTGATATAGAGTTACCTTGTGTGTAGGAGAGTGATTTAGAGTCGTGTTGTGTGTAGGAGAGTGACATAGAGTGATGTTTTGGTAGGGAGTGATATAGAGTGGTGTTGTGTGTAGGTGAGTGACATAGAGTGATGTGTGTAGAAGAATAACATTGAGTCTGTTGTGTGTAGGAGGGTGATATAGAGTATAGAGTGATGTTGTGTGTAGGAAAGTGATGTAGAGCATAGAGTGATGGTGTGTGTAGGAGGGTGATATAGAGTATAGAGTGATGTTGTGTGTAGGAAAGTGATGTAGAGCAAAGAGTGATGTTGTGTGAAGGAGAGTGACATAGAGTTTCCTTGTGTGTAGGAGAGTGATGTAGAACATAGAGTGGTGTTGTGTGTTGGGGGGTGACATGGAGTGGCATTGTGGGTAGGAGAGTGACATAGAATTGCCTTGTGTGTAGGAGAGTGATGTAGAGCATAGAGTGGTGTTGTGTGTTGGGGGGGGGGGGGGGGGGGGACATGGAGTGGCATTGTGGGTAGGAGAGTGACATAGAGTTGCCTTGTGTGTAGGAGAGTGATGTAGAGTTTCCTTGTGTGTAGGAGAGTGATGTAGAGCATAGAGTGGTGTTGTGTGTTGGGGGGTGACATGGAGTGGCATTGTGGGTAGGAGAGTGACATAGAGTTGCCTTGTGTGTAGGAGAGTGATGTAGAGTTTCCTTGTGTGTAGGAGAGTGATGTAGAGCATAGAGTGGTGTTGTGTGTTGGGGGGTGACATGGAGTGGCATTGTGGGTAGGAGAGTGACATAGAGTTGCCTTGTGTGTAGGAGAGTGATGTAGAGTTTCCTTGTGTGTAGGAGAGTGATGTAGAGCATAGAGTGGTGTTGTGTGTTGGGGGGTGACATGGAGTGGCATTGTGGGTAGGAGAGTGATATAGAGTTGCCTTGTGTGTAGGAGAGTGATGTAGAGTTTCCTTGTGTGTAGGAGAGTGATGTAGAGCATAGAGTGGTGTTGTGTGTTGGGGGGTGACATGGAGTGGCATTGTGTGTAGGAGAGTGGTGTAGAGCATAGAGTCTGTTGTGTGCAGGAGTGACATGTAGGCTTGAATGTTTCGAAACTACCTTAGCAATGAACTTTTTCATCACATGTCGCCATCTCAAGAAATAACATGAATTGGAAAATCTGAAGAAGCAGCTTTCAGTTTGAACCCTCTCAAGTAATAGATTTGAAACTCGTGAGTAAACAGTATATATTAGATCTACTTTCCAATGCGTGTTAACATGTTGAATAGGAGGAACGTGTGATTTTATTTGTATGTTATGTTAAACACACCTCCTTGTGTACAATGTTTTATCATGCGTTTGATCCACGTAGCTCGAGGCAGCATCGTAATGAGACCAATGGCGTCACGTGAGATGTGCACACAGAGATCTCCCCAACACATACACTTGCTACCAGGTATCGGGGTTATTGGTGAATTGTGAATTGGTGAATTCCCTCAGTGATAGTTTTACTACCATTACTAGAGTCTTGTATTGATATTCATACATTGATTCAGTTTTGTTTGATTTACTCGGTGTAGGTAAACATACATATCAGTATTAGTGACATTATATATATAACGTCACCATGGGTAAATATATGAGAAACCTTATTTGACCAAACACTGTAAACATACTTTGAGACATATTAAAAAGATGGAACTTGGCAAAACTGATCACCATGGTTGAAATTAAAGTGTCAATTGTGCTTAAAGTGAAACACAACACTAGTCTCTGAGTAAATGGAATCACAAGTCAGTATCTCGTGTGTCCGCCATATGCATTGATGACTGCCGTGCAACGTCGATACATGAAATGGATGAGGCGGTTCATGAAGGCCATATGCATTTGAGTCCACACCCTGAGGAACGCCTGACGCAGTTCAGCTGCAGTTGTCCGCCTTGGTCGGACGTCATTCAGGCGTCTTTGAATCTCGCCCCACAGGTGCTCAATGGGATTTAAATCGGGACTGTGGAAAGACCACTGCATAGTTCTGATGCCATTCTGCTGGAGGAAGTCTCTTGTTGCTCTCGCAGTGTGGGCACGGGCGTTATCAGGCTGAAACTCGTGGTTGCGGCGACGTGCCAAATGAGGTATGGCGTGTGGTCTGAAGACTTGATCAATGTACCGATCTGCTGTGACACCATTGCCTCTCCCTGGGCCGATGTTCTGGAAGACCACAGGGCCGACCCTCTGAGCAAGACCAATTCTACCCCACACCATGATGCTCGGACCACCTCACGAGTCTCTCTCAACAACACAAGCATCCGAATAACGTTCCCCGCGGCGAAGCCAGTTTCTCTCTCTCTGCCATCTGCTGTTGAGATACAGTAACGGCTCTCGTCTGAGAAGAGGACTCTTCTCCACTGCTGGTGGCGCCAATGCTGGTGCTGTGTTGCCCACTGAAGACGGTCCCAGCGATAACGTGGTGTCAGAATGGGTCCACGGTGTGGCCTGTGACAGTGGAGGTGTCTGCTCGTCAATCGTCGACGCACGGTGTCCGCACTAATGTGTCGTTGGTGTGTCCCCATGGTCTGTCGAGCAGTTTCCGCAGCCGTAACAAAGCGATCTTGAAGATGCTGTTGCACAATCTGACGATCCTGACGTCGGGTGGTGACCTTTGATCTTCCACTACGTGCTCGGTCATCTGTAGTGTTGGTGGTCTGGTACCGTTGCTGGAGCCTGTATATGGTCCTTACGTGGACTTGAAATGCACTGGCTACTTGCCGGGCGGTTTGTCCAGCTGGCAATCATCCAAGGGCTTGGTGTCGCTGATTTCTTGTCAGTCTTGGCATGTGGTAGCAATCCAATTACGAATGAATGTTATCCGATCTTGGTGGATTTTTATAGGGCAAGAAATGGGGGAACGCATG